TGGTTTGGGTCCTTGCAGACGTTGCCAGTCTTCTTGTGTAGACGGATATTATACAACGAACCCAGAGTCGGGACGCCTCATTTGCGTCCCATTTTTTTCGCTTCATTCGCGCCTGTAATGGGCGTGATTATCTCTGTTACGTGTCTCCGTAAAGACAGTTATCGTTTCCACCATGGCAATAAATAACCACAATTTCAACACAACTTTATTTGTTGTGTGAATTACACAAACGTCGGACCCGCAAACGGCGTTGTGTTCGGGTTCATGACGTCATCCGTCGCCGCACACGGCTTGAATGTCACCGACTCCTCCAGCGCTGCTTCAGGCGGAGCAGCGTCTCTCGGTTGGACACAAACTAACTTGAGCGGCCGTTTAATTAAGTGTATGTACGGTGATGACGAGTGGAGCATCTCAACGCTGAAAGTTGAAATATTTAAACTTTGGGCGAAAAGAGCGATTCGCTTCGCTCATTTTGCTTTTTCGCTTCATTCGCGCCGCCCTTTAAAATTTGCCTCATTCGCGACCAGACGCGTCTGTGCATTGACTTTAAATGGAATCGAATAATTCGCTTCGCTTTTGGTGTGAGTGCACCAGTAGTGTGATTGGCTAATCGCGGCCTAATCGGTTGCATGTTTGTCGAGGCGGGATGAGAAGGGGGAGCTACGTCAATCCTGGTGTACATAGCTGGGATCAGTGCACGTCCATGGCTTTCTTAAGTTGACCACGGTATCCATCACAGATTTACCGATGCAAAAGTTGTGCACGGCATATTTTTAACCCACTGAGCAGCAACTAATTATGGAAACTTATGGGGAGGTAGGAAAGGTAATAAAGATGTGTTCTGACACTATGGCAAATTTCACCTCAACCAGTAGCTGGAAACCGGGCCTCCGGTGCCTAGAGGCCCATAATCCATCAACATGAGCACAGGGTTCTTGCACCATTTCAAAAGTAAAATGTAATGCTTTTAAGACCTTTTTAAGACGTTCAACAAATATAATTTAAGACCCAAAAATGTCGCAATTTATTGCCTCCTACAATGGAAATCAAAAAAAAAAATTCAAATTAGGAGACAGTATAATAACTGACAATAACCCTTCCAACACTATTTGGCCAATATAGATTTAAACAATCAAAGTGATTCCTTTGTGATGCAGAGCCAAACAGAGCCAACATAACACACATACATTTGGATTACACTAAACAACACAATGCATTGCGAATTGGGGAACATGGCAGCAGAGACGCCACGTATGTCATCATTAGATTTGATTAGGAATTGTGCCCCGTCACAGTACCTCTGCCTTTTGGGTGTCTGGTGTTGAAATGAAACTTGCCGACTGAGAGGTGGCGTGTGAACTTGTAACGTCGTTAGGTCGTGCTGCAAACAATGCAGGGATTAACCTGGCCCCGCTATGGCTATGGCTAGCTGCTGCAACGTATCGCTGGTGCTTTCCTCCTTTCATGTGCGACTCCACGGCTTTGAGCCCCACGGTCGCTAATGAAAAGGTCTTTTTGCATCGTTTGTATATTGCCTCATTGTTGTTTTCAACCGACGCCAACCACCTCCCAAATGCATCCTCTTCATCCACTTGTTGTTAAATTTGCACTTCCATCTTCTTTGCATTTTCAACCTCACATCGACAGCCGCGTGATGGCGACACGCAGCCTGACGTCAGCGTCTGTAGCCGACGTACCGTAAACAGATATTCAATTGCGGAGACTCATTTTGCACAATACTAAATGAATCAACTATTAGATGTTTTACGATGCACCACTGTGCTTTCTCGTCGTCATTAAGCGCACCGGCAAAAAAATTAATACTTACAGCAACTTGAAACGTGAAATTTAAGACAATTTAAGACCTTAATTACCCGAATTTTAATTTAAGACATTTTAAGGGGCAAAAACGCACACAGGAACAGGGGGAAAAAAGGCAGGCAGAAACTAGAACCATCCAGGACATTCGACAATGACGCGACAAGTGACAAGAGACACACACTGCTTGAATACACTAGGGAGGTGCAGGTGATTGGACACAGGTGGAAACAATCAGACAATCACAGGGGATGACAGGACAAGGCAGGAAGTGAAGTTACCCAGGGAGACAAGAAGCAAAAACTACAAAATAAGACAGGAAATAAACCACATCCTGACACATCTCAGGGTCCCTTCCAGGAAACTGGCACCACGGTTCGTGGGCCCGTTCCCCGTCAGAGGCCATTGGCCTTGCAGCAGTTCGCCTTTGCCCGCCTCAATCCCTCCGTGTCCACCCTACCTTCCACGTGAGCCAGATCAAACCTGTGAAGGAGAGCCCGATGGTTCCGTCTGTCCACCACCAGAAGTTATAGACGGCGGCCCGGTCTACAAGGTCAAACAGTTGTAGGCAGTACGCAATCGGGGCCGAGGTAGACAATACCTGGTGGACTGGGAAGGATATGAACCGGAGAAGAGACAGTGGGTTCCGTCACGTTTCATTGTAGACCCTAGCCTCATAAGGGATTTTCATAGGGACCACCCTGAACGACCTGGGCCGTCAGAAGTCAGCCCTAGGGGGGGGTAATATTGTCTGACATGTGTTGAGGGAAAATGTTTTTTATTGTCCAACGTATATTCATGTTATCGGATTTAGAGAAATTGGATAATTAGGGATATAACTATATTCATATTTCCCTGTAGATGAGTTACAATTCAACAGAGGGAAGGGAGAAGCTAACAGGAGGCCCATAGACAGATATAGTGAGACGCCAACGTTAAAAAAAGGTTGGGACTGATCTAAAAAACTGCAATAGTAGAGTTTAAAATCAAACTAGTGACAGCACTCCCACTGTCACTGTCTTGCATACTCATGTCTCTCACATTGTCTCTCATACTGTCCTGTCTGTACGGTGTTGCGATGCAGAGAACATCTGGAATCTGATTCAAATTAACATATTATCTCATCATATGTGTTTATCATCATCTCCTGCTCGTCAGGGGAGAAAAAAGAAGCTCTGCCTTTAAGTTTATTTGCCGTTATACTGTTAAAAAATCCTGGTTTCGGTGATCGATTCTTCCGCCTTCCAACGTAAGACGATTATCCTGATGATTGACATCTGGTTCAAACTAACGAGACGTTTTCAGCGCTGATCCGCCTTCGAGGAACCGAGATAGCCGGATGTCAATCATCTCTGTAATTTGAGCTGGATAATCGGACATTTGATCGATTGTAGTTGAACCACGAACGAGGAACAGGGCCCAGGATTAATCTTAGCCTGGCTGTTAGCCTGGTCTGAAGCAGGCTGGCTGCAAAGAATAAATCGCCATGGTTACCTGGCTGGTTTAATTCAACATGCTTTCGTGCAACCAAGTCAAAGCTAAATTCATTCAGGATTACGTGAATATCCCGGCTTAATCCCTTATCCTGGTTTCGTGCAATAGCCCTCTGGTCTCTCCGGTGTTGTGCAGCTAGTAATCACACGGTGGCGCAGTGGGAAAAAAAACGATTTTCTTTTCTCTATCATCTTGTTCAAATGTGGAGAAATGTATGTATTGCCTAGTGCACTGTAGCAAAGCGTTAAGTAATTGTGCGGTGATACGGTGCGGTGTTGGCCACAGACATGTCCTGCCACTTCCAGCAGATCAACGGGATGAAAAGCCACCTGCAGCAACATGAGGCGTGAGTGTTTCACGTCTGGGTCCGTCCCGCCTCACGCTGCCAGTCACTCCAGTCCTTCACAATGCTGAAACTATCAAACCATGATTGTTTCTGCTTTTCAAACCTTTCACGCGCCGCGTCCACTGACTGGACTGGACTTGCAGGCCCGACAAAGCAAAGGCCTCGTCCCTGCTACTGCACACAAATGTGGAGAAATGTATGTATTGCCTAGTGCACTGTAGCAAAGCGTTAAGTAATTGTGCTGTGATACTACGGAGTACAGACATTGTGCGATATTCCCACCGCTGATGATATGACTGTTAACAATGATTGGCATTAGGGTCATTGGAATGCGAACGCTTAGTGGGATGCCATCTTTGATTTCACCCTCAAGCTTCCTTAACCAGGCAAGCTCAAAAAGAAAAAAACTAAAATTCTACCAAGTGGTGACGTTAGTCTGCTTTACTAATTATAGGAGTAAAAAATGACCTAATGCTAACTGAGCTTGAGCCAAAGCCCCCATTATGTCACAACCGGGTCGGAAGCCACAACACAAGGAGGGACACGACCCCAGAGGTGACAGTTTATTACCGACCACAGAAGTATGAGAAGCAAAGGGAACTGAGGACCAGGGTCTGGTGACAGGCAGCAGATCTGGGATTGAGGGAGGAGGCGGTTATGTAGGCGAAGCCACACCTTCATCCAGGTGCCCTCAATCACACATCCAGGAGCTGCACCTAGACCTTGATATCGAATACGCACACACACAACCATTCACAGCAGGACATACAATTATGTGTAACACTTGTTAGACACAAGATTAATTTGTCACTCGTTAGTCAGTTGTTCGTCAAGCTGCTGTCAATCAAGCGCTTTTCTCATAATAATTTGGTGAATTTACTTTTATTAACATAATTCTTGTGACAATGAAAAGATTACGGCATCATTGTTTAGAGCTCACAGGCACGGAACAATGTTATATCTCAGAGTTGGGAGAGAGGACGTGTTACACGTGGCAACATTCGGTGTACGAAATGAATGTTATTTGGGGTTCCAAGGGTTTCCTGGAGAGCTAGGTTTACAATATTTACTTATTAAATGTTTTTGTTCTTGTTTGGATGTTCAAGTGTGTGTAGAGCTAGCATTTATGTTCTATTGTCTTTGAGCGTAACACATAGTGTGTAACCGATGTCAACTGAAAATAAAAGGATTGAAAGAGACTGGTAGCTTGTTGGGGCTGATGGAAGCTTTTGTTGGCGTGCTTCTGCTACGTAGATAAATGACTGAGGGAGTTGCTGCTTTTACATATCGCCACCTGTATCATGTTAAATCGCGTGTTCTCAAGTAATCAAGATGACTCATGTTATTTTATTATATAGATATGCTTTTATTAGAAATAAGACACATTCATTTTGTGCTCTGAAAACTGTACATTAACAAAGAGGCGACCCCAGTAAATTAAAAAGTGGAGAGGGGGGAAGTGGGAGGGGTATCTGTGTGTGGCGGGATGGGGGAGCAGATCAGTGGGTCAGAGGTCAGAGGTCAGGGTTTCAACAAATACAGATTTGAGAAGGTGACTGGCGGTTATATCAAAACACACACTGTTACATAGCGATACAGAACACTTGTTTAGTCCAGTACCCTGAAAGTACAAGGAGGGAAAGGGAGGATCGGTATCAGAATAATCATGTTCATATTTATAATAATGATAACAGCTATCCCCAAGCACAGTAAGAAAGATATTTATAGGCTAAAATCCATTCTGTAGAACTCTGTTGAAATAATTACAATGCTGTACATCAGGACTCCAAATGAGCCTTGTGCTTTCTGTGTGCAACCACCATCCCTCTAATGAACTGACTGCTCTCTATCATCACCTTTAATCACCATATTTATTTATTTATATATTTATACATTTAGTCTTCTTTTTCTTCTCTTTTTTGAATCGCCTTGAATTGCCTGTACATGGTTCTCCACAGTTCCGACTCAAACAGCATGTGTTTGTTGAATATGGCGTCCTTCTGGATATATGGACGCTGTGCACATGGTGTCCCCCTGTTGGAGGCGTTGAGGTGAAGGGTCCAGTGCAGCACAGGGCCCGGCGGCCCGGTCTCTGCCGTCTGCCGAGGTGTCCGTCAATGAGAAGGAAATTGCCCTTTTGGCTCAAAGAAACATTGACTTTTTAAAAACGTTGTACCCCTCCACCGCCCCGTTCCCTGCTCTTGTCACTGCGGGGCCCCGCCGGGAACTCTGGGGATCAGGCAATGGAGGCAGGATTGAGTGAGTTGAAGGGGCGGGGCTACTGCAATGAGCGCCACATGGGTGTACGGCGGGCAGTCGGCCCCGTTCCTTCCTTTTCCCTTTCGAGATTGATGTTGGAGAAAAAAAGTCCAGCGGCATCTCGAGCCGTACACAACAGCGTCCATCATGACAAAGAGAGAGCGGAAAAGTGACAACACGATACTCTCAACAGTGGGAAAAAATCATGGTTATTACACTGTTTTTCATTTCACACGGGGTAAACGTTGCATTAATACCTGTGCCTGTCTGCTAAATACATGGCTATGTGATGCACATGTAGTAGCTGAATCTGCTACCATGACAATCTGAGTCACTAGGTGTCTGAGACCAGATGACCGGTATTTAGTAGACAGACACTCTGTCCAAACATCACATGGAACATCATAGAAAGACCCTCGGCCTCTCGGGACTTGGTTGAATAGATTTCTCTCCCCCTCATGTGGTCGCAGGGGGCTTGGGTGGATATCCAGAGCAGGGCAGTGTGTGTGGTTGTTCGTCTGAGAGGATTGGAAGAAGAAGCAAGTTGTGGGTGTGTTTTGGGGATCTCGGTCACACCTCCGTCTGAAGGTCCATGATCTCCTGGCCCACCAGAGGAATGGTGGCACTGGTCTTCTCCCACTCCACTGTCTGCAGCTCCAGAGGGGACGCCGCCACGGTCTCCAGGTCCTTCCTCACCCAGGAAGGGGGGGAATGGGTCTTCCTGATGCCCTCCCACGCTCTCTTACTGGGGGTCTGCTGCTTGTCCTGGTGGGAAGAAAGACCGTTTGTTTTCTCAGGGATGAGACAATATGTGATGTATTGCAGAAGTTATTGTTCTTTTGGTGGACCTGCTTCACCTCACTCTGAATGTTTTTATTTCCAAAAACATTTCAGTGGGTATGAGCAGCTACATACAGAAATAAGGACTGGGAAGCAACAATGGTTGTGGCTGAGACACATCCTCAAATCACATGTTGAAGACGTCGTTCTCCTTCCACTGATTTGATGAGACATCAAAATGGTCTTTTTCTTTCTCGCCGTAGATGTGATTGCTGCGTGATTCTATGATTGGTCACTGACACTACCTGTGTCAAATAGCTGCACTGTTGCTCTTTGAAGTTGGACCTGGTCCTCAGCCAGACAAGACCTCCCTCCAAAGGTGTGAAACAAACATAGTTTCAGTATAAATAGAAAGGATCTGCTGCCGGAGAATGACTGCAGCTACAAAGCCAACATGGAACCCTTCCTGTACCTACTATTGTTCAGGGACACGTTCCCAGCCAATCCACTCCCATCCAAGTTCTCCATTGTTAATAGGGGGGGGGGGCATTATTTATCAAGCTAATGGTCTCGCCAACCAAGAAAATACCAAACTCCAACGTAGATAATTAGAATGTCTTGAGTGCCAAGAGTAAGTCAAACGTGCAGCTTAGAGTTCTATTTGATTCTGCATAGACAATATTCATTAAGAGTCAGGGGGAGCTTGTTGGACATAAAACTCATATGTTCTTTAACGCTGCCCCTTGATGTCCCCACAGCTAGGACTTAATGCACCTACCAGAAAACAGGAAACTCAACCTAAGTGTAGCGGTTTGTGCTAATAATGGAAGGAAAACAGCATTACATATAGGAGAGGGGTGGGGGTGGGGAGTGGGGGAGGGGGCAGAACAGAATAAAGTTAAACTCTTTACACTCAGGTTGGTCTTGTCGCTGCTGGCAGAGGACACACTCCATCTTTTGGCAGCTTTGGCGTCAACAGGTGGAGATTCTCTATCCTTGTCTGCACTGTGAATCTTCCTGTTCAGGTCCTGAAACATGTCCTGGTGGCGTTTCCGGGTGTGCATAATCTTCTACACAGGGACATTGCACGTTAACGTACAAGGTACACAGCACAAGGTTCCATTAATCCGTTTCACATGTGATGTCTCCAATCCCAACACTACCATCAAGCCCATATGATGAATGTATGCAAGCAGAGAGGTCTGAACAGCTAAGAGACATCAGCGTGTTGCTCTACATCTAAAGAAGCTGTGTAGGAATCAAAGAGACTAATATTACCTCAAAGTCAAGCTCTGCATAGCGTGATTTTCGTCTCTGGGGGGAGATGAGACAGAGAGATTACAGATGTGTCCTGTTTATGTGTGCCTTGTGAGCACGCAAATGCTCCAGTGTTTCTGAACTGTTTCGTTGTGTGTCTCCGCGTCTGCCACTCAACCACATGTGTTTCTGGGATGCGGAGGAGAGCAGTGAGTCACAGGATTTGCTGCTGGTCATTCTGACCCTGTTGGCACATGTTTGTTGTTAACAGATTGTGACCGAATGACCTTTTAAGTCCTCCATCACCGAGTTGTTGAAGGAATAGTTGACCTTCAGGCGGCTCGGTTGCCGTGGCAGCTGCCGCTTCGCACGGCATCATGGAAGTGTGTTTTGGCCCCGAAGTGAGAAAGACACCAGCAGGCAGATGTCACTGTCGTCTCATCCTGCACTATGAGCTACGTGGACACTAACGTTTTCTAGATGCTGTTGATACTGGGGTCAACACAAAAGCTTGGGCAGTGGTTGTGATGCAGTGTTTGTAACCAAGAAGAGACCGGGACTTGTTTTCTTATTTCAGTATCATAAAGGGAGGGATTTCGGCATTGGTTGCGGCAGGTTTCCACCCTTGGAGGTGCGGGGAACGGGAACGGGGGAGGGGGGGGGGGGGGGCAGATGGACAGTCGGACAACAACATGTTACTCCCACCAGTAACTGATTAAATTAATAAATAAATATTACAAGTGGCTCCCTAGCCAATCTGCATGGTTCATTCCCCGACCGAGGGGGGCTGAAGCCGTGTCGCCGCCTCAGTACACGACAAACAGATGATTACACAGAAAGAATTAGTGGAGTCCGCATGTTGAGTGGTAATAAAGACATGAGATGAGGAGGGATGTTCACCATCATTATACTGCCATCTTTTCTCAAACAAAGCCTTTTTTCAAATGTTCAATAAGGTTGTAAATAGGGATGTCACGATTAACGCATTAATCTATGCGATTAATGTAGTCTAGATTAATGCAACAAAATATTTTTAAGTAGTTAACGTTTGTTTACTTCCGGTCCCAAAAGTTGACCGCGGAAACGGAACGGCCGCTAGATGCAGTGTTACATCTTCGTCATCATCGTCACTCATCTATAGCAAATTGTAAATTGGCTTATTTGAGGAAATTGCACTTTCTTGTTTCTTGTTCTCCTGAGTTTGTACCCTATGGTTGAATGCACTTATTGTACGTCGCTTTGGATAAAAGCGTCAGCTAAATGACATGTAATGTAATGTTGTAATACATCGGAGAGAGGAAAACAGAAGCTCAAGATGGAGAGAGCGTTTTGCATTGGAAGCAAAACGAACAGTGGTGCGACATACAGCAGAGAACTGAGCAGACGAATTAGTCCAAGTGTCAAACAGAAAGCGGGTGAGTCAAACGGACCCCTTAAAGCACCGCTATGGTAAGCTAGCTGCTAGGCTAAGCTAGCTGCTTCCATCTAATCTAACGTTACCCTGCGCTGCACAGTCTACAGACGCCCACCACCGTGTCCCTAAAAGACGGTGGTTTAAAAAGACGTCCTGGCTAAATGTAGGGACATAGTTGGCACTTCAAACACACCCGTTAAATGATGGAGAGTCGAGAACAAAGTGCACGAGGACAACAGGAAGAGTCGCTAGTTCAACATGTTCCACCCGGTGGAATTCTGCCTCCAAGATGATCACGCGTGTGGAGTTTTGTGTTTAGAATAACATTTACTGTGTAACAACAGTGTCTAATATACACACTTTCTAAAGTGATCATTCATTACTTTTAAGATTTAGTCCTTAGAAGAAAAACAAACATTATAAATAACATTGTAACAACAACAACACTCATTAAACACCATTAATCGAGATTAATGAATTTCAAAATGTGCGATTAATTAGTTAATTTCTACTATAACTATTGACAGCCCCAGTTGAGAGGTGTGTCCACTACTGACTCCAGCGACATAGCATTAATAGGTTTTTAATCATCAATTGATATCACTTCTGCTTTGACACTGTTTTGATTCTGTCAACCGAACCCACCACTTCCTGCGGATATTTCAATTAAAAGACTAATTTGACCTTTGTTACGTAACTGTTTTACCTTACTTAGAAGTACTCTTTTTAACCCAATTCACAAAAAAAATCTTAACCTAACCAAAAGGTTTTGTAACTGTAAAAACGAACCAAACCTACATTGTTTTTACAGACTGTGTAAATGTAGCAGGTGTAAATTGTTCGATCTTACAAAGACAGTGTGCATGTAAGGAATGTAAAGTTACAAAAAGTACCTGACAAGAACAAAACTGAAAGTGGAACCTGACACAGCTGCCCAATTTGTCCCTAACCAATGATAGCGCGGCATCTTTTTGTCCTACATAATGTCATCAGGAAAAAAAATGTAAACAAGAAAGAGTTTTCCTCGATTCCACAGCAACAACCAAACATTTCTGTTTCAGAGCAAAGAGTTCCTATCGATTGTAAAATTTGTCTGGCTCTGAAAACTTTTTGACTAATTTCTGAATATCTGATTTTACAAGAAATTGCTTGGCTTTTCCTGATAATGATAACTATCCTATTTTGCTTTACGTACCAATCAAAGATATTGTCGATGTTTTGACGTGTGAGAAAAGAGAACGCGAGATCAGCACGGTCGGCATGATGCGATTTTGTTGCTGTAATAGGAATGCGTGAATGGTGATGTTCACAATAGTATGGTGAATTCATTCAGACAACAAAAAACAAGTAAATCAACCAAGCAGAACAGAAAACATAAATGGAATAAAGTACACTTATTACAAATCAAAGACTCACAATAAAGGCGTGGTAGTTGGGGATGTATGGTGAGCAGTAATAACACAATGTTGCCATGCATATCTTCTTTGGAGTACAACGTGTGAGGCAACACTTACCTCCAGTGAGCTCATGGACAGCGTGGAGACGGTCTCACTCTTGGACATCACCCCGGAGTTAGCGGCATCCGGCCCGTCACACATGCTGTTGGCTCCCTGCGAGTCTCTGGGCATGTTGTGGGCATTGTGAGCAGGTGAGTCTCTGTCGGAGCACGACACGCTGATCTGTTCGGCAGGGAGGCTCTTGAGGCCGAAGCCGGGCGCGGGCTCTCCGTTGGCGGGGTTGGCCAGGTGAATGAGCCTGGTCTGAGGCAGCTGCTCAATGCCGATGTTGTACTTGGCCGTGGGCTCCTCTTTGGCCTTGGCCGGCTTCAGGGTGCCTGTGCTGTTGGTCGGTAGGATGACGTAGCCCGGGCATTTGCCGGTGCCCTCGGAGCTGCTGCCCTCGCCATTTCCTCGGGGCAGCTCTCCATCCAGCTGCTTGAAGAGCTCGCCATCGCAGATGTAGATGGATTTGGCGCCCGGCAGCTCTGTGCTGATTCCCTTGGCAGGGCCCTTCTCCCTGCGCAGAGTCAGAGTGTGGCTGGTGTAGTCTGACACATTCTGGAGGTGAACCTTCGCCATGCTGGCCGGCATGGTGTTAAAGTTGGAACCCTTCTGAAGGGTGAGGGTCCCGGACGAGGCCTTCTCCTCTCCCTGGAGAGAGGAGCGCTTCATAGTGCCTGCAGGCAAAGAAAGACAAAGTTGGACCATGTGCGGACTACACCTTAGAGACAACCGAGACGTCAACCCTTTATTTGGCTGAATGGGGCGTACCTCCACCCAGTGACCTGACTTCATTTCACTATAACAACTGCTGGCTTATGGCAGCATGCGTATCCCAGGTCCAGGCTGGCCAACGCTCTATCCGCAACACTTAGTGACTCACAATCTCACGCCGTACTCCCCCTTCTCACTTGACATGAAAAGAACAATAGAAAATCCTCTCTCGCTGTTCTCTTCTGTCTTTTGTCGATCAGGCGTGCCTGTGTCTCAATAGCTTTTCTGCTCCAGATGCTTTCCTTGATATCCTGTCTCGAGAGATAATCAGATTTCCACAGCCAGCGGATATCAGAGCAGAGCCAGTATCTGATGCGCCACTATCGGGAGGGGACTTAATTATACAGCGGCAGTGCAGGAGAGACTCCGACAGCCCCATTTATCTGCAGAGAAGTGCTCAGCGCACGTTCATCAGCCCCGTCTCCGCTGCCTTGTGCAGCAGCAACGCGCCCTATTTCTTGTCAAATCCGCTCCTTGGTGGAAAGGAGGCTGCGGTGTTGTTGATTGTAAGACACAAGTGCAGAACTGAGGGGGGACTCGCCTGGCATCTGTTCCCACAAGCAGTCAAAATACAAAGAGAAGGGACAGGGAGACACCTGTGGGCCCACAGGGCAAACACTAAATCCAATGCACCAAACCTGGAGCTCACCTGATCTGCAGGCTATGTCCACATCTTTCTCAAAGTCAGTCTGAGGACGGAAAGCAAGACATATTGCAGTCAGCGTACGCACCCTGCCAACATTGAATAAATGATCCTGAGAGGTAAAAATAGCAGATGCATGATTATACCATGAGCTGAGCGTGGCCATTCTGGAAAGATCCTCCTGAATCTCCATTGGCGTCCTCCTGGCGATCCACCACGCGGCACTTCACCGCCTCCTGAACCTGCAGCGGACCATGAGTGCACAGATCACGGCCGTGGAACCTGTATGATGCATGTTTGTGCTACTGCAGCTCTCGAGGCTCCAACGTTCTTTACACTACGCAGTTTGCTCGTCTTACGAACTGGAGTAGAAGTGGGGAAAGGTCAAAGGTACCATTTTGTCCTGATGGTGGTTGAAAGCTCACTGCCCCCCCGCTACAAATACCAGACCACCATGACCATGTTGCTCAAGGGGAACCGTGAACTGAAACCATTAATCACCCTCTGATCCTGGATTCTGTCTTTGGAATTACTCTGTGGGGCCAACAAAAGTAAATGCAGCCACGACTGACATTCAAATCCGGATCCTTTAAGTGTTTCAACGTGAACCAGCTGCAGGAAGTGGTCCAGAAACGTAACACTGGTCAAAAGAATAAAAACTGGGACGACTCAAAACATCAGGACGGGAAAAGGAGCTGCTCAGCATTTACACTTTGAATTATATATTGTCTTTCCTTCAAAGTAATTACCATTACCATCATTTAATAAATGTTCCTGCTATGCTGAACATTAAGGATGACATTATTCTGTGATTAGGGCAGGGGAGATGTGCCAGATAGATATTATCAGTAAATATGTGGGCGATGGTCATGGCGATGATTTGACTCCCAAAGGGTTCATTCCACTCAGGGTATGAGATAATATATAATAATAAGTAGCCTTTTGCAGACGATATCAGATCAGGGTTTAGAAATAATGGACAGAACGTTTAAAGCTCACAGTGCTCACATCGGTCTATGGACTCTCGTCACCAAATTGACCCACAGCTATTGTGGGTTGATCGAATGGCCAAACCAACTGTCAGTCCCGCCCGTCGGCATAGAAAGCGTGAGGGAGGCAGACTAAGAGCTGGTTTGTGGCCCCGTCGGGGGGGGCGGTACCTCTCTGCGCAGGATGCAGTGCACCATGACGATGACGAAGCCCTCCAGCGAGTCAAACACAGCGAAGAGGATCTGGAAGAGTGCAGAGCGCCGGTCGGTGATGGCCAGGACGGCTGACATCCAGGTGAGAGCCAGCAGGGGCAAAACCACGCAGGAGCTCCACAGTGACGCCCTGCAGGACGGGGGGGGAAGTGCAGTCAGCGCAGGGTTAGACTGCAGAGCTGCTAACACATGATTCCTATTGTCATTATCAAAGAAAACATTTGCTATAAAACAATTCCAAAAGATAAACTGGATCGCTGGTCTTTTGTTACGTAACAAAAAATAACACAGTAGCAAAGGTCGTTCTTAACATACTCTCAAACCAGCTGCCTAACATTGCATTTATATAGAAAACGTAACCATAAATCCTTTTGCTACTACCACAAACCAAAACATACATCCATTATCTGCAGATATATATGTTCATAGTTCACATATATTACATGCATGTATGTTTAAGATGGTTCAGTCAAACCATAGAGGATCTAGTGGCGCAGGAGAGAGAAGGGGGGCAGTAGGGGAAAACAAATGCCATGAGTGTGAAACAGAATGCAAAGACAAACAGAGGCAGAGCAGAGGACAGACGGACGGGAAGAGTCCACACTTTGCTCTTCTTTGGCTTTCTATGTGTTGTAACGTGCGCAGCAGGAATGGACATGAACTCTCACTCAGAACCGCCGACCCAACCGACATTCACCATTCGTCTGTTCAAAGTCCAACAGTACGCCAACAGTACTTTGACACGCCGTACATGGAATAATAACTATTATCAGGTAAGTAATGCTTTGAATTCACTATTTAAGCAGCAATAATACGAGGGGCCATGATGTACCATCAACTGCTCTGACTTCTTCTACATTTCAGTTATTCTCTGAGTGTCAATATCGCCTCATGCAGAAGTTCCACATGGACCTTCAGCTGTAATGTGAGGACACGTTTCACTGACAACCGCAGAGCAGGGAACAAAAAAACCTCAAGCTAAAGTCAAAGTAATTAATAGTACAACATGAAATAATGTCATTGTTGTAGCTGGTGTGACAGCACATTTTCTGCTAATACACTAATAAATAAACTGAAAGCATTCATGGCACAACGTGTGAACGCAGCCACAATACAAACAGCCCAGGAGGGACTATAACTAATGCACCAGGCAGGTGACCTCACCAATCAAGTCCTGGGGACACGATGACCACAGACCCACGGGGACGTCCCACAGCGCACAATCACCCTTCTCATCATTTACTCTCCGTCCAAATAACGTTGCATTTCAAAACATAAATCTGTTCATAAAAAGCCACTGAAGCCTCCGACTCTGAATATGTGATCTGTGTCCAAAACCCCTCACTACTCCGCCACGATATGGTGGACTACGGGTGTGTAGCGTGAATTATTGTTCTAGGGGGAAAACAGTGGACAACGATTTACGTCATAACGCGTTCCGCTGGAGGAGCTGTAGCGCAATGAAACCGTCACAAACTGCTTTGTATTTAATAATATGCTTACGGTGCCGACGGAGACAGTGAGGGACGTCAATATGTCCCTCCAAAAGAACAAAGACCAAACGTCACTCTGCAGCTGATGCAGGACGCTGCTGACGTCCGCCAGCTTGTGCTTCAATACGTGCACGTTGTGCAGCATGTGCGTCCACTGTCCCACTGTCCCACCCTGGAGGACATCCCCGGCCACAGTTTGGCAAAAAAATCGGCAAGTGATGGAAAGGCTGAAATGAGGTCCTCAGCTGTGCGGTTAAACCGGAGAGAAATGATAATCCATCATGTTCTCCATTGGTCCCCCAGTTACGCCCACGTGGCTGCAGACATATTAGTATTATGTAGTAAGATGTTTTCTGTGGCTACAAACCAAACCTCTCAGCAGGAGGACGGCCAATCAAAGCGCTGCTTGTTGGATCATGTGTGTTCACTCGTGGCTGACGTGTGTTTGTCAGACCTGTTGCTCATGATGGGATTCATATCTCAACTTTTTAAAACGTGCTCCTAGTGTGTGTGGATTTGTGTTGGCATGACGACGTATTGTGGCAAAGTAACAAGCAGCCTAATAAAAGTAATATTACAATACAACACCCAAAGTACCATGTTTGTTTATGAACGGATTAAACGAAAGGTCATGTGGTGTACATACTGGTACACGTAGCGGTGTACATACGTAGAGGTCTACATACTGGTACACGTAGCGGTGTACATACTGGTACACGTAGAGGTGTACATACTGGTACACGTGTATATACTGGTACACGTAGAGGTGTACATACTGGTACACGTAGAGGTATACATACGTAGCGGTGTACATACTGGTACACGTAGCGGTGTATACTGGTACACGTAGAGGTGTACATACTGGTACACGTAGAGGTATACATACTGGTACACGTAGCGGTGTACATACTGGTACACGTAGCGTGTACATACTGGTACACGTAGCGGTGTACATACTGGTAACTGTTGAGGCGTTTCACTGTATCAGTCATTACAGCCACACGGGTCAGCAGTGACACATGACTGACCAGGAGGGAGATGAGTCCATCACTTGTTCACTCACTAATGTTTAAAACATAGAGGAGCCATTTAGAGGCTGTTTGCTGGTTGTGACAGAGAAACAACAGAAAAGATCCACGATGATCTGATTGTAGTCGCACAGCAGCACAAAGGCTGGGCCGGCAGTGATGGGAGTGATCCATCGGAGCACAGTAACACACACACAGACCACGGCCTCCTCAGCACTCGTCCAATCAGCTTTGTGGCTTTGATGATCAAACACACACACACACTCATGGTCTTCAGTCGTCCATCACAAAACATAATTACTGAACACATTGGACAAAAGCTTCAGGAGACGCTGCTTGCTGGGCGCCAGGGAGAAGGAGAGATGACAGAGGGAGAAGAGGAGGTGAGGAAGAGGAGGGGAGGCATACAGTAGAGGAGGCAAGGAGAGAGATAAGGAAAAATAATTAGCGGGACTAACATGGCGTTACTGGTAGCTGTGGTGGAAACGTCAGCCGAAGAGATAACTCCGCACTTGGCACATTTGAGCGTCATATTGTACAGTGGCACTGTCATCTGACTGCAAAGTCAAATCAACACGCTGTAACATAACACAGATACACACACTCACACAGCGAGGCACAGGGTTCCCTCACAGTCTCTCTCTCAGGGCTGCCGTCCAGGGGGGGGGGCCTGTGTGTGGCTCTCAGAAGAGGGGTGGGATTCCCTGAAGGCGGCTTTGATTGTCCAGGAGGAACAGAGTCCTCTCAGTGTTCCTGCCTTTCAACCGTTTATCTGCCTGAGGCGTAATGGCCACGCCTGACTTCCAGCACGCCGCTCTGCCCCCCCCCCGGTCATCTCGCTTGGTGCTAAGTGCGTTTACGGGCAAAGCAAAGGGGTTTTTCTACACACACAAGTAACGATGGGCTCCGATTACATGATACTCATCAAAGTAATTGTTGAGATCTGAGAACATCACTGGACAGCAACGAGAGTGTGGAGCTAAAACGTGTTCATCCCAATCTCTTGGAGTTCCAGGAGTCAATCGCAGCCAACATTGGGCAAGAGACGGGGGACAAACCACCATTCCCACTCACATCCACACACCTATGGGCATTTAGAGCCCCAATCCCCCCGATCCCCTCGATCCCCCCGATCGGCCCGATCCCCCGATCCCCCGATCGCCCCGATCCCCCCGATCCCCCAGCAGTGGGAGGAGGAGAACACGCACAGTCCACTCAGAGAGGCGGCATCAAACCCAGGAGCTTCTCGTCTGTGAGGCTACAGTGCTGAATCCATCCATCCATCGTCAAACCACTTATCCTGCACACCTGTTCGCAGGGGGCTGGAGTCTGTCCAGCCAACTTCAGGCGATAGACGGGTTCACCCTGGACTGGTCACCAGCCAATCACAGGGCTACACAGAGACACACAACCATTCACACTCACACACCTACGGGCAATTTAGAGTCAATGAACCTGATCCCCAGAGCATGTCTCTGGACTGTGGGAGGAAGCCGGAGAACCTGGAGAGAACCATGCAGACACGGGGAGAACATGCAGACTCCACACAGAAAGGCCACTGGGCGGAGTGGAACCAGGACCTTCTTGCTGTGAGGCGACAGTGATAACCACCACACCACCGTGCCGCCTTGTGCTGAAAGGGTTACACTACTTTAACACTACATTAATACGTCAAACATTTTCCTTTTAGTTGAGAATTCAGCTGCAAACCTAAAGAGGAATGTTTCTGAGTTAAAGGCCACACGTCATGGAGGTCCCTGTAGTAATCTCATCTTCAGCCTTTCTCCTTTTAAAATAAGGTTTGCATCCCTTCTTCCTACCGAAGCGACGCAGACACATGATGCTACTGACGACTTTGTTCGGTGAATATCAACACCGTCACAGAGGGAACAATAACCACAGTACTAGAAACATGTCACTGTGGTACCGAGTCTCCCTTCCCATTAAAGATGACCAGAGAGCTGCTGTTGGGTGCTGCTTTAAGTGACTTTACTGCAGGATGTTGGATCAACATTCCAACAGTATACATCCAAAAACAAGTGACCTCACTTCCAGCTTCACAGAGAACAGTCATCTCTCCATTTTCCTGCCAACACTAAAGCTAAAAGATCACAACAGAATTCCATTGATAAATGTTTGTATCTCGGGGGAAGTTCCTCCGCAGCGATATTGACAAGCAATAACAAACTAATCTGTTACCATATGGCCTCCTGCTAAACATCAATTAAAGCCGAAGAGCCGAGGGAATCGATTCTCATAGCCCTCGGACACCTGGATTAAAAATCACACAATGGAAGGAATTCAATTTCAAGTAAAAGGGCAACGCGGCGGCTAAATGTACGCCGCAGGCAGGGGTATTAAAAAACAATCAGCTCTTTGAAAAACGCCTCCATTTCTGAGGAGCTCTAGATTGAGAGGCGAAAGTCGGTGATGTGGGTTGAAAAGTTACGAAGAGGATCTGGAGTCCACGAACGTAGACCTTGTTCGGCATGCAAGGCACCAAAAGGAAGTACTGAAAACTACAACCACCCCTTTAATCTGAACGCTTAATGTTCTGTTACAACCTGTAAATACACACACTTGATGATTGGAGCGAGTTAGGCATCCGTCCGTTAAGGACAGAACAAGCTACAGTGCTGGTCGCCGTTAAGCTTCTGCTGTCGGTTTTCATTTTCTCAGAGAATTAGCTTGTAATTTCCGGGGGCGAGGACACTCGTCTCTGCGGTGTGAGCAGCTCTGTGCAGCTTAATTGGATGCTGCACAAATAATTAGCTTCTTTAAACATGTTTCACATTTGAATCCTGCAGACCACCACAGGAGAGGAGAGCGGGCGGATCATTGAAAAGCAACGGAGCCTCTTCAGTCGGCCACAGAAACAACTGTGAGGTTGACCCCCACATGAAGACGCAGCGTCCCATCGCGCTCAGACGCCCAACCAACCGGCCTGGTCGGCCTCTACATGTGCAACTGCTGACCACGAACAGACCCAAGGTCACATCTCATCAAATCCAATCAGTGGACAGCTGATGAAAGTATAATTAATGGATAAGTTAGTTATGTTAGGATTAGTTTTGAGATGTAGTTTCATCACAGCAGCAACTACTTCATCAAGATGGACTTAAATGGTAAAACTTTATCGAACCCCAGAAGGGAATTTAGGTTGTTGTTGCAGTTACGCGAGAAAAGAAATGAATACGGACGGAGGAAGTAAATAACATTGGGCTTCATACGTGTGCTGACCATCACCGCTAACCGAGCCACAACCATCTGCAACAAAACACTACCAGGGGAACGGGATTCTTCCCAAAGTAAGGACCAGAGCACGCTGGAGGCGCAGTACCACGGCGTATGGGACATATGGCACAAAGCCTTCATCGTCTCTAGGGGGACCTGTGTGCGATCTGGTCAGCTGGTTCTTTGAGGTAAAGTCGTTGAGCGGTGTGAGCACAACACACCCCAATGTCCCTCAGGGAGGCGCCCGCGTTTCAACCGGGTTCCTCACCTTCTTTTTGTCATACTTCATAGGAATCAAACGCCTAGCTTTGTCATTCGGGTACTTCCACAGTTACAATGGTATATGAGCTGAAGGGCAGTGCAGGGGAGCCCTACGCCATTATGGCCAAACCCACATGGAGGAGTCCCATTTGTAGCTGATACCCCCCCCCCCCCGTCCAGCCTGCACTACTGGATGCCGAATAAGACATTTCATATTTATTTGGTACTAAGGGGACCCAACTAGTAAGCATTTATTGATTTGTTGATACGTGTGATTTATGAAGTGGGGCCATCTTCAGAGACGGCTGATGAGATCAAATATACAGTATTGAAAATATATCAATATTTTATCCAGGAAACTGTCCAACTACGACGGGTCCTCAGTGCGAGGCACAAACTCTCCGTCTCATCAGTTGATCGAATCTGATTGTTTGCCCGACTCCTCGACCAAGGATTTGTGCGTGCCCCCTTTTTGGATTGGTTTGCCTGTTGGACTGATATCCCGGTTCAGACCAACTAGAGAACTTTTGTCTTTCAGTCGTGCTTTTGGGTTCGAGTACCTGTAATCCTTCCACCAAGTGTTCGTCGTGCTTTGTGCGTGAGACATTTTGCTGTCCTCAATTATTTCTATAAAACAATTGTGTAAATGCTTAAATTATTAACCAAAGCACAAAGGTTCAGCATTTAAGTCCACCAAACCTGTGGTAATTAATCTAAAAACGAGACAAAACGGAGGTCTGTATTTTTTCATATTGCAGGATATTTTAGTAAGAAACTAATTGCAAAGTCAAGCGAAGGTTTGTGAGCGTTCATTCAAAGCTCCAACTTGCATCCACGTCCCTTAAGGGACGGCGATCTCACGTTGTCCTTACTGCGAGACGAAGGAAGGCTGAGACCCGAGCGGTCGCTACTGACAAACATCTACTCCATCAGACGCAGAGAGAAGCCATCATGTCATTGCACACACACACACACACACACACACACACACACACACACACACACACACTGCATTACTGTTGAAAGAGTCAAACTGCTATGAAAGCCTTCCAGAAGCGGTCGGAGCCCGAGGCAGCGATGGGTTGTGTGTAGCGTCAAAGGCAAGGTCGACGGTGAGGTCAATAGGCAGGAAGTCAGAGTAAGCCAATCAGAGGTGCTTGCTAGGGGATTGAGCAGACTGGGTGATGGGCAGCGCTGGCAGCTATACTTCTAACACAGGGGGTGGGCCGGTATTTTTTACCCAATCACTGGTGACATGGAGGGGGGCTTCTGAGACTGATGTGTTCCTGATTGGAGAGCCCTGAGTGAGAGAGAGGGGATTCTGTGCAAACTCAAACATGACATATCAGACAGCAAAACAGTACAGTTGAACAGAGATCATCGAAGGAAGCAAACATTTTCAGAGAGAGAAAGAAAAAAACATTTGAATGCATCAACGATGCCAATGGAGACAGAACAGCCTGCAGGGTAAAGTGGAGCAGGGCGCATGTGTGTGTCACTGACAGGGTTCATGCTGAAACAATGCGTGTGATCCATACATACAAAAGAAACCTGACACGGTGGCCTGTCTGCATGGATACAAAATGGGTTTTTTACATGTCCAACTTGATTATGACCCTCAAATAACATGCTAGGCTTTGATGCCACTGGAATAAGTAGATGCCTAAAACGCCGCACGATGGCGCCGCTTTGTGAAAAGTCTTACTTCATTCCTCTTTCTGCAGGACGACCAAGAAAGAGCTTCAGGAGCCTTGTTTTCTGCCCCATGTTAACGAACCAACTCTAAGCAGCTCATGCAGGTACAGACAGGGCCACAGCGTTATGGTCAGTCTTTATACTTTCATATGGTTTTTCACATGTTGGAGTGTTCTTTTAGGACTATAGATACCCCAACGCTTCGTCGGGTTAACTAGCGTTTATCTCAGCTGAACTGTTTCATTTCTGCAGCTCTGTTCATTGGCTCTGTTTCCATTTGAGATAATAACATTGGAGGATTGCAGCCTGTTTGCTTCAGTGAAGAGAAGCAATCGCAGCATCATTTTGTTGAGCACAATGTTATCCTAAACAACAAAACCAATGGCCAAAGTGACCAAAATCAAACTGTGGATGTGGAGAGCTGTGTTTTTAATTGCATTATTATAGTGTGACCTTGCTGTTTCAAAGCCCTGCTTCCCTCTACTAGAAATAACCAAACAGGAGAAGAGACACAGATGGGTGTACAGAACTTTACATCAATAGCAACACCTGCAAACAAAGAGCAGCTGCAGGGAAATGTGACACATTTGGAACTTAAAAGAAAGCAATGAGATGAGTCATCATCAGTCTGTGCAGGACCGATAACCAGGCAGCCTCCCCCACGCCTCCTTCTGCTTTCTATGGTGTCATCCTGCACTAACTTTGACCCCAGTCTAACATGTGCAAACCACCACTTATGTTGGCCTCTTATTGCATTTTTGAGAAGTCACATTTACCTTCTCTTTTTCTGTCAAAAACTAAGCATCACCATCAAAAGTTTGAAATGACAGCTGGGGATAGTTTCAGCCACTACCCCCCCCCCCCCAGTAGCTCGGCTAGGCTGGTTATAGGTCACTGTGTAGAATGGATGTGTGGAATAAGGCATACCCCGCCCTCTCCTTTAGTTTCATATCTGTTATGCCGTCTTTGGACACCAGTTTGTTAAAAACGAGAATCCCAATAACCATGTTAACCTGTCGAAGAGAAGAGGCACATGATTAAAGCAGAGCAAAGACACTTCTATCACTTCACAACATGCAGATCTGCTCTGATGGGGATGCTGATGCGCTGGATAGCATTGCACACACACACACTTTGTCTGTACTTACTGTAGATATTATATCCTAAATGTTTGTGACAAAATCTATCAGCCATCCAATGAAGCATGAGAGTTAAAAGATGGTTGAAAGGATGAATTGTAGACATATTAACACATTGATCAGTGGCGACAGGGTCTAAATGAAATCTAAGGTGGGGGTGTATTGGACTGCAGTGACTCCCATCTTGTTACAGTTACTACCTCTCGCTCAGAGTGAGCCTAGTGTCCAGTTACTGTCGGAGCTCTTTATGTGTGAAAGGACACTGAATACCAGAGCTTCTCCTGTAGGTCGGGAGAAGTAATGAAGGAAAGTGGAGCTAATGGGCTGGATGAGCTAAAGCAGGACACTGTCGCTGCACTGAGGGTGTTGGTCGAACACAAGGAGGGTTGAGATGACCATTTATATATAATGTGTGTCTGTTGGATCTGTGTGGTTAATGGAACACTGGCCTCGTTCTCCTTTAAACAGCAGCTGCAGATGGTGGAAACCATGTGCTGACATCTTCTATACGCAACGTTTTATTCATTCATTACTATGAGATAAACCGTTTATGTCGCCAAAATGCAACATCAAACATTAATTCAAGTTTTGAGAAAAGGGAAGGCAAATGAGCAAAGTAAGCGTCAAGGAAGGAAAGGAAGTATTAAGCGGTGAAAAGAGGAAGCACAAAGGAAATGGGCTAGTAATAAGAAAGAGAAATTAAAAAGTAGGAGAGGAAAGGATGAGGCCGCTAAGCAAAGCAGAGAGAGGAGGAGGCAGGGAACAAAAGAGGGAAGGAGGAGGCAGGGAACCAAAGAAGGAAGGAGGAGGTAGGGAACAAAAAAGGGAACTAAAGAGCGAAGGAGGAGGTAGGGAACTAAAGAGGGAAGCAGGAGGTAGGGAACTAAAGAGGGAAGGAGAAGGTAGGGAACTAAAGAGGGAAGGAGGAGGTAGGGAACTAAAGAGGGAACTGAAGAGCGAAGGAGAAGGTAGGGAACTAAAGATGGAAGGAGGAAGTAGGGAACTAAAGATGGAAGGAGGAAGTAGGGAACTAAAGAGGGAAGGAGAAGGTAGGGAACTAAAGAGCGAAATAGGAGGTAGGGAACTAAAGAGGGAAGGAGAAGGCACGCGAGCAAAAGGAACCAAAAGGGGACGAAAGGAAGATGTTGAACGAAGAAGGAGAAGACAGGGAAGTAAACCACGGTCCCAGCAGGAGACACGGGTTGATCTCATTTGTCTTCTCTTAGAGATTTCATGCTGTCTGATCGTAATATACATTACTATGCAATCAATCCCTGCAGAGTAAATATGTTCATTTCTAGTGTGTAATGTGGATTAAAGGTGTTACGTGTTGCTAATTGGTCATACAGCGGTGTCTCCATTATGACAGAAGTCTTCATGAAGACAGACTGAACACGAAAGAAAAAATACCAAGACAACAGCCGCAGCGGGTCCAACAAATGCATACAGAAGACCTCCTTCCAGAGACAGCCAGCAGCTACAAGAGAGGACAGACGTGGAGAGACATGACGCGAGGAGGGGAGACAGGGGAGGGGATGGAAACGGTCCGAGTTGTGAAAGGTAGTGGACGTGACAAGAATGCCGATGGCAGAAGATGGAGGAGATAGAGAAACACAGGTTAATAATGCTGCCAACATGCCCCCCCTCGCCGGGGGACACGATGTGCACTATGCAGCTACAGGATGCATGCTTACTAGCTTGGTGTTCCGTATCCCTTGGCCTTGGTGAATCCCACTGAGATGGCCACCACCAGTGCAGGGAGACCTGGGAGGAAGATCAGAAGGAACGTCAACATGACCCGGATGGAAGACACCGGCGGAAGGACAGGACGGACACCGGACGGAGCGGCCCACCCCAGCCGAGACACAGGAAGCGCTTGCGTATGATGCGGTTCCTGAGGCGACCCGTCACCGCCATGTACGACTGCCAGGCCTCCGTCAGAACCCAGCAGAACGAGGACAGGAAGAAGAAATGGAGGAATGCGGCGATCAGGGTGCACAAGACCTGGGACAATGGAAACAGGAGGACAGGGAAACAAATATCGAGTGATGTACTCGAAATGAATCAGCAAACACTGGAATGTGCTCTTTGGATTGGTCCTCACCTTATTGCGTGTCTGAGTCTGTCCGATGAGGATGAGAGCATTAGAGGAGATGATGGAAAGGCAGAAGTTAATGAGGATGACTGAGCGCTCAGACCGAATGTATCTGCAGGAAAGAGAAAGAGACCAATCATTCTTACTGTGGTGGAGTCCGACACAAGACACCAAAGGACAAGATGAAGGCTGAATATGTACTACAACTGCTACCCCCGATTGAGGGCTCGTTCCTGCAGTCCAATCATCTTGCACCATGAGAAAGAAACAGCTGGAGGTGTTACTGTACGTATCTCTCATAACGAGATGATGGAACGAGACAGCGGAGGCTGTCAGTAACTTCTTTAACCACAGCATTGGTCTGCTGGTTGGCGTATGAAGACAGCAGCATGCTCTGGATTGGACTTTCCATTTCACATACATGGAGACTCAGTTAGAAGAGGAAGAAGTTATATGTCCTGTATAGAGAGTAGAGATCGTCTGGTACCATCTTGTCCTCCCAGATACCGACCCAATACCAGTGAATTCATATCAGTAACAAAAGATACATGCTGTAAGAGCCAAATATGGACACTGGGTGGCGCTGCACTAAGCACTACTTAGCCCGGTATTTAGGTTGTGGATCCACGGGGTTTGTCAGGTGTTTGACCCCAGAAGGGCAAAGGGTTTCTGACCGCTAGACCAGATGTTTGAATCTACCACGAACTGTTGCATGTTAACCTGGAATAAGTTGACTTTAAACGGCCCCAGTGGACTCGAATGTTTGCCACGACGACGCAAAACCAACAGCAACATGCAGAGAGGACTCATCCTGGAGGTAGAGACACCTCAGCAGCCCAACACACTGACTGCGCTCCTTTAACACATGATGTCTAATAGCAATGTATGTAAGAACGTATTCTCCCTCTTATAAGCCCATGCAACTTCTTTTAGCGCTAGCCGTTAGCTCTGTTATTTAGCCAGGCAGGGCTGTGCATCTCGAATACAATCAATCAGTCAATGATCTGTTGCTAGAAGAGTCTCTCCACCTTTCTCCCCATAACTCCAGCATTCCTCTCACCTCCACACCGACACATAGATGATGATGAGCAGCAACAAGGTAAGCGACGACACTCCGCAGCCCACGATCAGCGTCACGGACGGCAGCTGTGTCTTATCCATGTTCTGGAAAATAAAAGGAGGAGAATCACAGAATGACTGAACGGATGATCTCCGCGTCCTCATCCACCCCACGGCCGATAGGACCGCTGGACGCATCGCCGCGTGCTGCTGAAGTGTGTGTAAAGACTTTGACAGGAGCTGTCAGCGGATGAACACAAAGGCAGGAAAAAGCCCTCGGTGACTCCGTTTGTGAGGCCTCACCTCCTAACTGGGTCACTCGCGGTTCAAATGCTGCCCACTGAATTGTCCTTCCCATCACTTCAGATGCGTTCAGAGGCCGACGTCGCCGGGCGACTCTCACATCTTTGAGGGAAATAAACTGCTGCTGATGTGCAGCAGTCATCCTGGTCCCAGTACGGGGCGGTTTAACTAAACAGACCTACAAAGGTACTTTGTTCACTTCAGGGCTGCACCCACAACTGTTCCCCACATGCTGAAACACATTAGAGATTTAAGACCATTAATAACGCCCCATTTCAGTGCCATCAGTGCAATCTGTCATCTCCATATGTGAACTAGAGGAATATGAACAGATGTGTGTGGAGGTTTTGGATGACCCAGGAGGAAAAGCAGCTCCGCTCTGTAGACTGAAGGAGTCCAGCACCCCCACCGTTCTAAATCAGAATGCCCGTACATACACAACACATTCAGCCCAAAATGTTGAACTGGACCTCAAAGGTCTCTAGTTTGGACCACGCCCTGAAGTCCAGATGTTTGGATCTCAGAGATAAAAGGCTGACAGGACTTGAGCGATAAAGATGCAAAGACTCAACACTGAGACCTAATTCTGTCTCACCAGGACGCCGAGGAAGTATGCAAACATGTTCTGTGCTCCAGAGGCAGCACACATTTACAAAGGTTCTATTGATATTACTGGTATTTATTTCATCTTTTAATCTTTTTTTTACTGCTTACTTTGTTACCTTTTTGTTAATAGTGGGATTGCTAAATGAAAGGACTAAGTAAATACTGTAGAAAAGACAGTAACTACAGTATGTAAAAATGTCCATAACAGGTGGAGATGAGTTCAAAGTGTCCTTAAAACTGGGACACTGTGCAGGTCAGACCTGTTGCGTTGCAGCAGAGACGGCCGGCCTGCTGATGCACGTTACACAGCGGCAAGGTGACAAGTGACACCGTCAGTAGAAGCGCCAACAACATGCTGTGAAAACCTTCATGACCTTCGCGACCTTCTGCCGGCGGCAACGCGCGCCAATCGATGATTCAACATGAAAGCCCCCGAGGTGGTGACTGGGGTCACTGGGGCAGTGCGGCCGGCCCAGCTGGCTGTGCACAGCGCAGTGTTTGCGTGGTCGTAAAGGTTGGCGGGGTGACTTCAGCAGGCTGCCAGCGAGGGGCTCTGACGCCATGACGTGGATAAAATGAGCAGTGATGCACGTGCACGCATGCTAGAGAGGAGTTAAAGAGCAAGGTGACTTCAAGGTGATTCATGAACACAACCACACCGCCCCCCCAAACACACACAGACCGATGCATGCATGCATTTCTACCACATACGTGACCATTACATTATCTAAATACAGCACATTGTCTTGGTTGCCATGGCTACTATCTGCAGTGTGTTTATGCCTGTGCTGTGACATTTCAGTTGATCTCTAAAAATAGAACGAGGATGAAGTTTGCGTTTCCGGATGATGACCATTAAAAGTTGTAGTTGGATCTCTTTATGCCAACACGCCTCAGAGCTAAAAACCCATTAAGAAAACAATAGAGCAGATAAAGGAGCATGTGCACGTTATGGAGGCACGTGACACGGCACCCATCGTCTTAAAGCGTTTCTATAGCAACAACAGCACTGCATCCTGCCGACAGCGCACCTTTTATAAAAGTCAAATAAAAACACATTATCTTTTAATCTACTCTGTGCTAAGCCCCGCCCCCCCACTTACAGATTAAACGCCCATGGTTGTTAAACGCATAATTGAAAAGCAACACACCGCTTAATAATCAATCACCAGCCCCTTTGTAACCAGTCTGACATGTTGTTTGCATTGTTGAGAATAGTTTCACTCTGAAGCCGTGACGGGCGGCGGTGGGGGCCGGTGGGGGCCGGTGGAAGGGGCCCGTGCTTGGTGGTTGGTGCTCGGGGTGCAGAGTGGGAGAGCTACTCCTCCCTTCCAGCAGAAGATAATTAGCTGAGTTTATAGCCTGTCTTGTCTCCAGGTTTGATGTGTGTGCCGGGGCCAACTTAATTAAATCCCTCTGATTAATCTGCACTGCAGTGAGTCCTTTTCCAACAGCAGCGGAGGGAGGCAAAGATTACTGCAAAGACACACAAACTTTACCCCCCCACTCGGCTAACAGCAGCGTCCAAACCACAGCGCCCACTGCGTTACTCCACAGCCTCAGCCAGCACCGCCCTTCCCCCAGCGACCAATCACATGGCAGATATCCGACCAGTGGTTACACACAGGAAACACACCAGCGTGTCCGCCGTGTGTGTGTGTGTGTGTGAGAGATGACATCAGATAAATACATATTCCAACGTGATCTCCAGAACCTGTTCATAAAAATGTGTATGAAAATCTTGAACATAGACATTGGTAACAATACATAGGAACTGGCGGTGGTTAACCACGCCCCTTGAGTGAACAACATGGCGGACCATGTCGGATTCCTGAGTGAACGTCTCTCCGCCATGTTGGATTTTTTGAGGGGGTTAGGGTTAGTATTGTATTCTTACAAGTTAACATTGATTTCTCGTTAAAAATACAATCATAACAGTTTATTTTACATGGTTAGACTTCACGTTGTGAATGAAGTGTGTTTACGGGGCGCAGCTCCCCGTCATCAGTTGCACTCCGTATTTATTTTGTATGTATCACTACGAATTTGTATCTTCAAGATTTCCGTGTACATTTTTACGAACAGGTTTTGAAGATCAGGCTGCATATTCAGGTTGTTTAACAGAAGAACCATCCTCTGAAGGAAAGGTCACCTAATGGCGCGTTTCCACCGAGCGGTACGGGACGGGACGGGTCGGTACCCTTTTATTTGTGTCTCCACTGCCAAAGGTTGAGAATGGTACCAACAATCCGATGCGTACCACTTTGTGGGTACCCTTCCGTTGGGGTACCTGGCACAGTTGTTTGGTACTAAAGGGCGGAGCTAGACTCACTGCAGAGCATTGATTGGTTGAAAGAGTGTCGTCATTTGCGCATGCCGCAAGTGTGTTTTTCCTTGCAGCATGTAGCCTTTGCTCAAACAAAGAGTGTCGTCTCCTTGTGACAAACAGCCATCACATACCACGCCCATCAAGTGACGTCATCACTACTTTCTCGAATACACCACGCCTATCAAGTAAGGGTACTGTTGGAGGTGGAAACGCTTGCCAAATCATGGTTAACAGACCCGACCCGTACCGCTCGGTGGAAACGCGCCATTAATGACTTCTGTTGGGATCCGGCGCTAAATAGAAAAAAATAAAACTAGACCAAATGAACCTGACCTTTAAGAGGGGGGGTTATTCATGCACCTTATTAAGAAATCTAATCCACTTTTAAAGTGAAGCTAATTACGTTGAGAAATACTCCATGGGGTTAAGTGGACATCCAACACCATCCATCATTGGTGGGGCGGAGCAGGGTTTGCTCCACCCCACATCCTGCACGTGGAGTCACACCTACGGCCCCCCAGGGTCTCCCTGTCCTCAGCGCACGGCTCACAGGGCAACTCCACTCAGAAGGAATGGAACCTGGACCAGTGGACCCTATTGTGACCCCCTTTATTTATAATATTGCTGCTGGCTGTTGATGTTTTCGTAAGTTGAATATCTGCCGATTTTGTTTTAAAGAGTAAAAAGGAATTCAAGTATTTAATGAACAAGGCGACAGACAACATGATCCACAGAATGATCCATATTGAGACATGGAAACATCTGGAGAACTTCTACAGCCAAAGGTCCATTAATACTTATGAGAGGTCATGCTCTGACCTCCACCCTGCCCCGCCTCCACCCTGCCCATGCCCTGCCCACGCCCCCGCCTGCCACCCTGGCCCATGCCCTGCCCACGCTCCGCCCACGACACGCTTCCACCCAGCCCACGCCATGCGCACGCCCCGCCTCCACCCTACCCAAAAATGGGACACACACACACACAAACAGACACATACAGACACACACAGACACACAAAAAGACACGCACAGACACACACACAGACAGACACACACAAAGACACGCACAGACACACACACACAAACAGACACACACAGACAGACACACACAAAGACACGCACAGACACACACACACACAAACAGACACACACAGACAGACACACACAAAGACACGCACAGACACACACACACACAAACAGACACACACAGACAGACGGAGACACACAGACACACACACAGAGACGCACACACGGATCCAGCGGTTGCAGTAAAACGGGCTCATCTTTGGGGTTTCGCCTTTGACTGCAGTGCATTATGAACGGCTGCAGCGCCGTTGGACTGAGCAAGATGGACGTGGGGGGTGAAGTACTGATGGAGCCACTGAGGGTGAAACACGGACTGACGGGGGAGGAGAAACAGAGGTTGGCTGTTTGTCATGCGGAGGCTGTAGGAGGCTCGCTGCAGATACTAGAAGATAGTATCTGATAGTAACCAGAAGATACTACGTGTTGCAGTTGGAATAATTAGCTTGGAATCTGAGGCTTTCTCACTGAATAACGGAACTCGTGGAAAGAGGCGATAGCCAAGGGAGGCGGGGAGGGGGGGGGGCCTTCTCCTCCATCTCTGTCTGAAGGAGGAGCTTCCACTCAGGGGCGGAGTGGCGCCTCCAGGCTGTTGTCTGTGGCTCCTGTGACGCCCACTGGTGACTATTCACATGCAGCCAGAGCAGATGAAGGAGATGATGCGTCTGCTGCCTATGAGCGCTATGAGCTAAATGCTAACGTCGCTATGGCAACAAGATGTCAAAATATGAAACCAAATGGTTTGTGGACCGTCTAGACCTGCAGCCTAGAAGTCAGACACGTCTTTTATTTGCAACCAAGTGACACAAGAGGTGGGAGCTAAGAACCAACACACAATGAATGTTTTAGATGAGATCTTCAATGTCATTCATCTACTAATTATCTGACAGCATATTATGCCATTTTGTTTGACCAAAGCTAAAACAGTTAATAAAGTAACCTATTATACAAATAACAGAAAATTGCTGTCCAACTTTACTTTACTGACGTTCTGTCATACTAATATTCAAATACAAATGAGTGAATTCATGACTAACGTGGAATCCAAAATGTCGGTTCCCCCTGCGTGCTGTTTTTGGTCTTTGCATCGGGGGCCGGGGAGGCTGCTGAAGCTTCGGGGGTGTCAGGTCACAGCTTGTCAGTGACTGACCTCCTGCCACCCTTTGCGCCTGGACTCAGGCAGCGCTCGGATGACTGGGCTGCACGTCAGCGATGGGATGGACACGGATGTTGGGACTGTTCTCAGTACTCAATATTCTCAATGTATTGACAAAACGATCAGAATGTGCTACGGACGCGTCTAGATGACTGGCAGGAGTAAACCAAACCATTATTTTCTATACAGCTTTTTCTAATGATACATCGGGTCCAGTTCTGCTGAAACAGATGAATGGTGAATGGACGGTACTTGTATAGCGCTTTTCTAGTCTTCTGACCACTCAAAGCGCTTTAACACTACATGACATCATTCACCCATTCACACCCATTCACACACTGATGACATCATTCACCCATTCACACCCATTCACACACTGATGACATCATTCACCCATTCACACACTGATGACATCATTCACCCATTCACACCCATTCACACCCTGATGACATGAGAACCACACACAGTGACACCTGCCATCAGTAACTAACATCCACACACTGTAGTCGCAGCTACAGGAGCCATGTTGGGTTCAGTGTCTTGCCCAAGGACACATGGACATGCAGGTTAGCAGAGCCTGGGATCGAACAGACAACCCTCAGACCACTCACCCACAGTGAAAACACACGTTCAATTTAAAGTGCTTTCGCTCAGACCCCACCGGGGCCTCCGTCAGGGCCTCCGTCGGGGCCTCCGTCGGGGCCTCCGTCGGGGCCTCCGTCGGGGCCTCCACCGAGCAGTCCGAGCTGCAGTGGGCTCGCTGCTCCACTGGGAACCAACAACTACTCCATCTGCTGGAGACACAGGCTGGACTGCATGAAAGCCCAACAACTGCTCTAAGGTACACAACCCCACCCTCATAGCAGGACACCAAACACCCTGCATCCCGCCTGGGGCAGCGTCTGACAATGACTGTTTACTGAGACTATGAGCGCCAACGTTAAAACAACAGAAGTATTTCATGCACATTGATAACCAGCTGTACCAACTCCAGTTGAAAGGTCGAGATGATCTCATGACTTCAGAGTGCAGCGGAGCAAAAAGACCGGAGGCAGGAAAAAAACAGCTAGCCAACTATTTTGAAGGTAAAAACCACATATTGGGGACAAAAACCGTGTGCATCCTCAGGTGTGCGTTGCCATAGTGACGTTGCTGCTGGGTTCATGAGGCCCGTTGGTAAATGGCCGTGCTCGGCTTCCACAATCAGCCGGGCAGCCGATGGAGCTCTAGCAATCGACTTCCCCGAAAAGCAAACGAACATTTCTGTGTGTTAAACCATTTCTACCCAATAACTGAACCGTGAGCTTCCCATGTTGATGATGTGCTAGCTTAGCCAGCACGCCAAAATGCTGCACTGTTCCTTTAAATTGTCACTGACTTGTCAGTCGACCAGTTAATCGATGAACCAATCACTGCAGCACAAATGGAGCACAGCAGGGCACGAGATGCATCACTCAAACCCCTGCAAACATCTGCAACTACAACACCGGCGCCCCGTCTTTAAGAAAGCCTTGGTGCCAGGGCTGTTACCAGGGCTGTTACCAGGGCAACTGGTGAACAAAACGGCTTCCCAGGCAATGTGCAGTCTAATAATAACTAATCACGCCCCACGAAGACACGCCCCTTTGCCCAAAGGAACCGGGGCAGGTTTGGGTCAACGGGACACTGCTTTTTTAACCGACATGTTTCATTACCCTCCCCCCCACACACACACACACACACACACACTGTGTGCAGCTGCAGTCATTCTGTAGTAACCATATTCAAATATGCCTTTTTGTGGAGGACACGTCATGCAGCACCTTCTCCATTGAGGGCTGGTAACCATGGAGACGTCGTTGACAAATAACATGTAGGAATATGCTAATATGTGAACGACAACTGCTGGTGATGGAATAGGGAGGAGAGGAGGAGAGGGGCATGCAGGTGTAACGTCTGACTGAAGACCACCATCTTGGTGCACAGACAGCCGTGTGCATGTCCTCCAACACCCCCCCCCCCCCCCACACAAAGGAAACCTCAGGCTATCACAAGCCACCGTTAATAACCTTGCAGCATGGCTTCGGCGTGTGGAGAGGAGACGGAGGAGACGGAGGGGGGTGGAGGGGGGAGGATCTGTTGATATGTAATGACAATGACGCCCTTTGGAGCAGAAAAGCCGCCCGAGCAGCAGCTGATGCGTTGACATGTAAAGCAGCGCGTTAGAAGGAGGGACGCGTCCCCACTTACCGTTCTCCGGGTTGAGCCGCAGCTAAGATGGCGAAGGGTGGACAGTCGGTCAACACAGCGCACTTGGTTCGGAATGAGTCGACGAGACCGGTTTGCAGCCCCTGCCAGCCCAGATCCCAGCAGAGAGGAGCTGCACGGGAGAAGCACACGCACGCACGCACGCGCGCGCACACACACACACGCACACACACACACACACACGCGCGCGCGGGCGCGCGGGGAGAGAGGCGATCGGTGAACAACGAGACAGTCCTGGAATAACGGAACAAAAGAGAGCAGTTCAAATCCCACCGCGTTGCATTTGCGGCTATTTGATCCACTTTACGTGAGCGGCAGCGGGCGGAGGCGCAGCGCGCGAGGGGAAGGCGGGAGGAGGAGGCGGCGTGCGGCACGTGTCCGAGCGGACACGCCACCTTACCGGTATCAGGGGTACGAGTACATGCTGGTACTGGTAACGGATAGTGAGTGGGCCAGTAGGCTACCAACAATAGGTATTAATACATCCATGATATGCATCTGTACGTACGTATATGTATTTATGTACATATGTATGTGTGTATAAATAACATTACGTGTACACTAGTTTCACAGAATGAGTAGCAAACGACAGTTTATGCTACAGACGTGGTCTCTGCATTTATTCTGAAAGCAGACTGAGCCTGAAAACTGACAAATTCTCCCCATTAGTTGTTTCCATGGAAACGACTAATTACACCTGCTGGCAGCTGACAATAGATCATATTATAAAAACAACTTCAACACAGGTGTAATTAATAAAATGAATGCTGCAGCCCGACGGTTCCATCCGGTGACGTATGAGGCACTGAAATGCAGCCCAAGTTATTCATTCCACCCACTTTCAACCCCGATGACAAGCAGGCAGTGACAACAATGTATGCATGATGTGCTCAGGGTGCTCGGATGCAATTCTGTGCTTTAGAAACCAATGGGACATGTTTAATGACTTGTTTGACCCACCCATGCACGTGGAAATATAAGGAACATATTGATGTTTGGTCAAAATAAATAACCAGGTTGAAATGTAATTGGCACTAAGTTTTGTGATATTGGCTCTCTCTCTTCTGATAACTGGAAGATACAATTCTAGTTGGATTTTGTATTCTTCAATAACTTGAAATGCATGTCAAAGCTTTACGCACTATTTTGTTTTCTATCCTTTTAAATCTCTATTTGGTTTTCCGTTCTGCTGGTTGATCTTCTCTGGTCTGATCTCCAGTACAGGCCGCCTGTTGTTATGGATTGTAAGAAGTCACCGGCGCTGGTGACAGAGTTAAATGATCCACGGCAGACCGACATCCACTCCGTCGGTAGGAGGCTTGTTTTGTGAATCTACAGACTCAATCCAGCCGTTCATTTTGACAAATGAAATAATGCAGATACATCGGGTGGAGTCGTTCTGTGCTGGAGTCTATTCCCCATTTATTCCACCGGTCTTCATTGGAACGTGTCCTGTACTCCTACATTCTGCTGTATGGTGTAACTATCATGTCAGGCAGCGGTTGCTGGTCCGCCCTCACGTGGACAGCGTAGCCAAATGCAGTGAGCGCTACTATGAGATGTCCTGATGAAATACAAGCCAATAAGGTGCATCTCCATCAGAACAGCCTCGGTCAGGTAAGCCCCCCCCCCCTGGATGAGGATACCGGCGGCGTCTTTGGCCTTCTGGATGATGTCTAATACAAACTAAATTTCACATAGTCGTTCCTTGTGTGACCAATGATCAGTCCCGGACCCTCACACGTGGGAGGCTGCTGCTCTCAGTCCTGACTGGACGGTTTGGTAGCGTGTGTGGGGGTGTGGGAGGCTTCGGCCATCCCCTCTAACAGAAAGCCGATATATTGGGACTGGGTGAGTTTCTGCGTGCGGCTGACGTGATTAGGCCCCTGTGTGAGCCTCACGGGGGCCGCAGACAGTCCCGCCCAGCAGTCTAATGGGATGATTACGGTGGCGGCCCAGCAGCCCTGCATGGAAGAAGGTCCTCTGCCAAGAACAGGCCACATGGATGAACAGCAGTCTGCAGCTCAGAGGACATAATAAGGAGCGCGTGTGAAGACATGACGAGCAGTTTGGGTTTTAATAACGTGTATATTAATTATCTTCAAACCAACGTTAATATCCCAACAGCGTGAATCAAACCATTTTTATCTCTGGGAAATCTTAAAGAATGAATTTGCTGTATTGATTGCCGTGTTAACGTGCACTAAGACTCTTAATGTTTTCTGAAATGGTTAATCGAGTTCTGCAATATTTGTTTAGCGGCCACTTCACGGACTTCCTTAACAAGTAAAACGTCAAAGATTTGAGATGAACCAGTTATTTACTGATGAACCAGTTATTTACTGATGTATTTGGATAACGTGGAGGACAACATGAAAATCTGTATCTTATTTCAGGCATCCGCCCAGCAACACAGGATTGAAGGTTTTTGAAACTTGACCCATGAACTAGGGACTCAAAGTGTTTCAGCCTCTGCTGCTTCTATTTGAAATGCACATTTTTACTTTCCCAACTTTACGTTACCAGAATGTTTGAGCGTCGCTGTAAATATCGACGTTTACATTTCAACATAGAAAAGTAGAGAGCAGAGGGAAACCCAAGCACGGCATGGCTTGAATTATTTTTTAAATCGAAAGGTTCATATTCCCCAAAATCCGCCATGGCGTACTGTAGATGCATTGTGACCAAATACTGAAGCCAGTCAGATGTCGGGGGAACAGCTGGAGAGTAATATGAATATATACAATATACACACAGAGGTTTGAGTGCAGTCGGTCTCCGTAATGCAGCCACTATAATATTCAGGAGTGGTAAACAAACATGCCCCCTGCCCACTGAACTCCACGTCCTCCTCTGTAATTGGATTACAACAATTGATGAAAATTCAAGTCCACAGTCGTCCCCAACGACGTATTTGATGAATTGAGGCAGTTCCCCAACATCAGCACGGACTCTGTGAATTAACTGAGACAGCAAGATTGATTTGCATGATGAGAAGGCAGTCTGCTAAACGGTGTCTGGCCCGTGCAGACCCCCCCTGCTTTGCAGCTTGTTTTTGGTTCTCACATGTGGATTATAAAGCCAGTAGCTGGCTGAAATGAGTGGTACTGGTGATCCAGCAGAGCAGTTTATATTCATACAATGTCATTTTAATCTGGTGAATTCATGCATCCTTTGTGCCTTTGGGCAGGATGTGTTCATGGTTCAATACTCAATGCTGTGCGTCAGGTAAGACTTGACCAAAGTAATAATGTTGGTGAGAGTAACGAAGCCAGACAGACACGGGCGGATGTTCTCCTTCATTGATTTCAGGGGATTGAAGTGTGGACAGGTGGGGCCCGCCCTGACAAGGACGCCCTCCCACACGTTCCATTTTCTCTCCCTAATATTAAGTCATTAATAATAGCTGCGTTCTGTGAGGAATTTTAATTTTGCGTTAAACAGTCCCCGCGGCAGATCCCCCACCCCCCCCCCCCCCCCGAGATTACACTCTTTGTCCTGGCTAGGTTTGTCATTGTCTCTCCTGCGGTGTTGTCTCCTGACGCTTGGTGGTGGTGACACGACATTGACAGAGGAGGCGAGCTTCATTAGAGGGTCAGCAGATGGTAAATACATCTTATACACTAGCTGATGAGAAAAACACATTCATGCAATTTGTAAAGTAAACTTCATAGTCACTAAGAACTATCCGGAGACTATTTTATTAACGTAGGACCTGTGAAGATCTAAATGAGCATTCACTGCTTCACGCCAATGGAAAAAAGTACCAGAAGAGAGAAAGTGGAAAAGTTTAACACATAAAGGTAATCAAGTGTTTATTTTAGGTTGAATATTCATCTGTAAATCTGCAGGTCACATGATGACTGGGTATTAATATTTATATAACATAAAAGAAAATCAAATAATAATAATACTTAATCAAGAAATCCTTCATTTTCTAGACTAAACTCCAATTTGGTGTTAACAGACATAATGAATTGAATTAGTAAAATCAAATAAAGGCCTTGTTCTCTCTCTCTGAGCACGTTTATACCTTTCACTGTTCACTGGCTCACATGTCCACCATGTCCCATGTTGTGCTTTTCGTCTTTGCATCACAAGAGCCCCCCCATCTGAATGCAAATGTCTTTCTTTTTTCTGCACTATTCCCCTGCTCACCACCTCACCACCTCACCATCTCACTACATCACCATCTCACCACATCACCACATCACCACCTCACCATCTCCCCACCTCACCACCTCACCAGCTCACACCTCACCATCTCACCAC